AATTGATACTAAAGTAGGGTTCTATATTGCTCCCAACTTTAAATGATATTATTCATCACGATGGAACCGTAGGCAGATGTCGTCTGTGCACTGCTGGTTTCAATTTTGGAGTATTTTGCAAAGATAAGTTTGCAATTTATTCAATTTTTTATTAGCCCCAATTTTCAGTACAGATGATAAATTAAGTTGCCATAATTTGAACGTTATCTAAACTTCATTGCCGTAAAATTTAAAATTATAACTGCGTACTTGCAAGAAGACGCTGACTCCCAATAGATAGTGTACGAGGCAGCACGTTTATAACGTCGGACGACGCGTGCCGACCGTGACACGTACGTCATGTGACGACATGTCACATGACGTACGACATGTGACGACATGTCCAGGAAATCCAATCTCTTTCTGCAGTGCGTCGGAATTGACGCTCAAGAGAAGCCACCATTGCAGGTGAGACAAGATCATATTAAGATTATATTAAATACTTATAGATATCGATAGATAAAGCGTTTTGAACTCTGCGAAAGTTGTTCCAAACCATATGGAAGTTTTTCAGAAAATTTCTATTGTTTATATCACTCGAAAATAAATTTCGAGTGATTTTTTTTCATATTATTTGATGACTATATAAACGATTTTTAACATCAGTTGAATATGCAAACTTTGTAGCATTAATATTGCAAAGACTAATGCTGCGAAGTGAAAGTAATAAGAATTAATAATCTTAAATTAATAGCAATGAATGTTATAGCGCGTTCTGGAGACGCATAAACTTTAGGTCATTAATTTAAGTGTTCGTGAAGTATCTCATGTCGCTGCCTTCCGAATGCCAGAAATGCGATTCTTCATTTTTATTCTCCAAAACTAACTTTTGTGCGTTAAACGACGAATCCATACCCGGCGAAACATTCTGAATTTTTTAAAATATCCAAGTTTGCCTCATATATGAAACTTACGCCGGCCTCCAACCTTCCCAGTGACCCATATGATTGATGGATTTTGCTTGAAAGGCCATCAATGATTGGCTGACGAACATACGATCTCTTAACTTTTTTTGAAAGTATAGGACCTTGTTCGCAGCCACGAGAAGTGCATTAAACTGTGGCATGCATCGTGCGTACGGTTTAGCTGCGAATAAAACTCAGCCCGACTTGATTGGCTCAACTCAACCTAAGTCCACTCCATATTGAGACTTGTTAAGCTGCATATACTTTATTCTCTATGCACCTCTATAGAAGTTACGTGAGGCCCGCAGCCTGCGTTGCTTGACGTTGAATTTCATTGACGGTACAATGTGATCGTTTGAACGATGATTGCTGAAGACAGTTAGTCTCTCTGTGTGGCATGTACAAAGATTGAGTGGTCTCTGCCCATTGCCAATTGAAGCCCAGATCTCATTTTGCCAAGAACTTACACTGCAGGCACACGGGTCAAGTGAAGGTGTCAAGCCCTTCATTATTATCGCTTATGGCGGCCTTAATTCCATGACCACTTTGAATTTCATGGGCCGTCTCGTGCAGACTTGTGCGCGTCAGTTCTTGGTACTAATTAATTTCCTTCCCTCGATCATGTGCCGTGAGGGTGCAATTGCCACTCAGGGCTTATAAATGCAGTGCTTCTTGGCTGCTCGTCTCTGTACTGAGAGACGTTCACATTATACATGCCATCACCTATACCATCACGTCTGCGCTTGTATAGTGTAATGACAGTCATCTTAAGAGGCCAAAAACATCTCCTTTTGGCTATTTAAATTCATCCATGTTAGAATTTTTTGGGAGCCCTTCTCTTTTATACTTCAACTTTCACATGCAAAGTAAAATTTAAAATTTTTATATTTCTAATTCAGCATCGTAAATCAACATGTAGTATGACTGTTGAATTAACTGGAGCTTCATTCAAGTCATAGTGTTTTCATGCCTTATGAGGCTGCTGCTGGTCTCGGCCTTACCTCGATCGTAGTTTACGTAATTCCTACCATATTAATGTTTGCTCTTGATTGCTTTTCATGTATGCGTAGTTTGCCCCCAAGTGCGATCCATCTCGCCGCCAAGTTTTTAATTACGCAGACGGAAAACTCTTGAGTGATTTGACAGAGTTTTTGTGCTTTACAGTGGAACTGTAAAGTGCGTTGAAGTGTTCAGTGGAAGCAAGCTTGACTGAGTTAGTGAAACCTCGATGTGCACTTCTTCGAATAGCACGTGATAGCCAAATGCTAACAGATCGTGATTATTCGAAATATTAGTTTGCGACATTTCTACTTTCATCATCTGTTCATCTATGATTGATAAAGGAAATTAACGGCAAACCACCAAAAAGGTTTTTCATACCGACCATTGGTATATCAACCCTCCTCTACATGATTATTTCAAATTTAAAAACTTCTGTTAACAAAATTTCTATCGATTTCCTTACTGTGTACATACTGCACTTAATAATTCATTTCCGCGATAAAATATACAGCATTTAAATTTCGAATTTTTACCAACTCGGTTTATAAATTACATAACTCGGTTTAGATCAAATATGTATTATGTATTACAGAACACACAAATATTACTCCTTCCATTTAACCTGACTCAGACAAGCTTGTGAATAATGTTAATGAACTTGCAGGTAGTCGATTGTTCACATGAATCCTTTTTCTGCTAAGTATGCTTTAATTTTTTTGCAGAAGTTCTTTTGTGAATTTTTGGATACTTGTTAACAGATTTCCGTTTGAATCGTTGAATCCGCTGAACGCGTTGGCTATCGGTATTTTAACGCTCAGCTGTGCTTGCTTACGCCGGTACACCGCTTCTTGATTGGAGTTACTGTGCGAAATCAAAGCTTAAATCGTCACCAGAACGCATATTATTTACAATAGCGACGTTTCTTTGCTTGTGAAAGGCATGCAGAAAGTCTGTGTGTTGTTGCGTCATCGCGTGGTCACGTTAAGCAAGCTGCTCCATAGAATGTCTGGCCTGACAATTCGCAGCCAAATTGCCGGTGATGGTCTGGGTGCATATGGTCCTCTGTTAAACTTGCTATTTACATATGCGTGGTCCTTTCATTTCCGTTTAAATCAAGCACATGCACATGCGACTTATAATTGCGATGACGCCTTATAAGATTGAACGATCGGCACGATTGTATTAATTGAACAAAATAAATAAAAAAGTATATTACTTCTGCAATATAGCATGCACATTTACCGCAGTTCAGTTAAATACTGGCAGCAGCTCCCTGATTCCCACGGTAAAGGCGACGCCTATACGAGGCTCTCAGGGAAGCCATCGCCCCGTGGGAAGCTGCATGCTATATTCTCCTCCTATTTGGCATTATAAATTCTGCTCTTCTTCCGCATTCCAGCTTATAGGGTCCTGAATTGTGTGGTTTTTTGTTTAGATTATTGTATTTTTATTGAATAATCGTCAAATACTATTTCCAATCCCTTTGACGAGCGATAGGTGAGCCGGTTAGGTAAGAATAGCGGTATTGTCATCGAGTGGCAATTGCATGGTTACGATTAGCTAAATTATTGGTGATTGGAGTCCAACCAATGCAAGCCGGTTGTTAACCGCTACTGAGCTACTGATAAACCAACTCGTGATGTTGGTTTTCCTATTTTTTCAACTCATGCTAGTAAAATATTGGAATCGAACGAAGAGGCAAAAAAATAATAAAATGCACTGATTTTGATAGGATATAGGTAGAGCGAACGTTTATCGAGTACTATTTTCAGCAAAAGAAAACTGACTGGTGTGAGGTGATGAAAGTCTATTGCAGCGCTTATTTCTATATAAAAATTTCATTTGTTTGTTCTTTTAGATTCCAGGACCCGGGAACATGAAAGGGTCGTTCGCGCGAGAACATAAATATCTGTTGTGGCTGGTTGTCCCCATGGTTGAATTAATACATATTAATTCAACCATGGGCTGTCCCCATCTGAATTTTTACGACGGCCGAGGAAGGGCTGGGTTTAAGGAGCGACTATTTTTTATTTGTTGCATTTCTCAAAAAAATAGTTGTACCCATTTTGCTTGAACTTGTGGAAAGGAACATAAATGAATTAATCGGCGATTCCGTGTAAAGCTTTTATTTGCAGTAATCTTTCTTTAAGAATCATCACTTTACTTCATACATTATTAACGCAATGCTTTATAACGTGACATTCGATTCTCAGTTACGTCTCATTTATCGTTCCTACGTAATGATTAAGTAACAAACAATTCTCCATGTAAATCCTGAGCGCCGATGGCTCGCCGGCGCGTGCCAGCCGCTCACTCCTGTGGCTTCTGCATGTCATTACCGTGGCAGTTCTTCCCGCTACTCATGATTTCTCTGTACGAATTTCTATGTGTACTTGCATTACAGGCGCCTATATTTACGGGTCTTTCATTGTATTTTTTATTTAAATATTTCTACTTTTTCAATTTAATTTTATATTTCCAGTATATTGCTTTATGTTACGTATGTCATTACTCTATTCGTGATTTCACTGCCTGTTCGACGTAAAAATATATTTCGGGCCTTGAATAATTCATTGATGGTTATGGTTATTATTAATTATTCCATAAATAATGATAATTGTATTTTTTTAAAAATACTGTTCTCTTTGATAAAAATAAAATTCACGCATAACTGTTACATCTAATCATAATTTTTAATCATCATTAGAGCTTTCGACCACAGAAATTACTAAGAAATTGACGATTTATCAATCAGTTATGTATCTACAAACGAAAATTAAATATCACCGCTGAAATTCTTCCCTACAATTAAAACAATTTAGGTCATCATATAATAAAATTATTCAATTTAGTAACTACAAGAATAAATATTAGTAACTTCTTTGAATTTCACAAACCTCACGCCACACTTGAGATGCTAATGTGCTCGAGGTGGCGTTAATATCTCTTAATTATCTTAATAATTATATTATCTTAATAATTAATATTATCTTAATAATTAATATAATAAATTACAAGTACTCAGCTGACTTGTAATTTACTTGATCTGTGCAGGGCCACAATGGCTTTGACGAGCTGCGGCGCTACATCAAAGGGGGCGGCGAGTTCTGCAAGGAGCTCGCTGTTATTCTTCAGGAGAGGTCAGTCTTCTTGAAAAAATGTTATTGATTGCTTAAATGTATTGCCTAAATGTATTTTGATCACTTCGCTTATAACTTTCATGATCAGGGGCCATACTTTCAAAACTCGCTAAGTAAACATAAGTAATTACGCTCTATTTTCTTGTCTATGATTGGTGGATTTTGCTTGAAAGGCCGTCAATGATTGGCTGATGAACTTATACGATCTCTTAACTTTTTTTGAAAGTATAGGCCCAGGACATCGGTAATTCTTTACAGGATAATCATCGTCAGGAACAAAAGTTCACTTCAATAATGAATTCAACCATAAATTTGAGCATAGCTCGTACGATAGAATGAAGTCATTCATTGTTGTATCGGCAACTAAAATAAAGTAAAGGCAAAAAATGAACCTGCTACTCAGGGACCTGTTTTATTACATATGTATGTAAAGTATTATGATATTTGACGGGTTTATCTGGTGATCAAGAATGATCCATACCAACAGCTCTTGTTTGTTCATTTCTATGCTGTGATAATTTGTCCCCCGAATTAAAAAAAACGCTTTGGTAAACGACTAAGATTATTTACGTAAATTTCTGAGCCACATCCGGAAATTTACGATACAATCAAAATTCTATACTGCGCTAGCACGAAGCTGGTCCTCATCGCATCATCTTCAGTCCGATAAAACTTTGATAAAACTTTTATAACTCCCCTATGATAATAGACACGTAATTCCTGTACAGGGGCCATACTTTCAAAACTCGCTAAGTGAACGTAAGTACTTACGCTCTATTTTCTTGTCTATGATTGGTGGATACTTTCAAAGCTCGCTATGTGAACGTAAGTACTTACGCTCTATTTTCTTGTCTATGATTGGTGGATTTTGCTTGAAAGGCCGTCAATGATTGGCTCATGGACTTACGATCTCTTAACTTTTTTTGAAAGTATAGGCCCTGGTATGAACTCTATACCTCGCAATACAAGCGCTCGGGAGTGCGATGCTTGTCGCAATGCCGGCATCCCTCAAGAGCGTTTCTAATTAAGCCAGTCGTAGACCGATTTAATGCACTGCCCCCTATTTTTTTACTCTACGCTACCAATTGTATTTCAGAAATTATGCAACTTTTGAATCCACTATAAATTTGTCCGCGCGATCAGGGCCTATACTTTCGAAAAAAGTTAAGAGATCGTAAGTTCATCAGCCAATCATTGACAGCCTTTTAAGCAAAATCCACCAATCATAGACAAGAAAATAGAGCGTAAGTACTTACGTCCACTTAGCAAATTTTGAAAGTATGGCTCCAGGATGTGATTTAGAAGGAAAACACTGCGTTTAAACAAGAATGCTCATTTTTATATAACTTTTGAATTGTTCATTGGTAATATCAAAAATTTTGTCTTCGATATCGGTTCCAGGAAAGAAACTTAAAATCATCTGGAAATGATTGGAAACATAACTTGAATGTAACTTTCTGTTCAAGATAATGACCATAAAAAATGTCGTTATGAAGTAATAGAACCTAATAGAGTTATCTTCAAGAGAAGTTTTTGGAGTTTAAAACAGTTTGATGGTAGAACATTTTGTATAATGTAATACGATCACAATTTGTGTAACCAATTCGACTTTCAACTAAAAGAGTATATTTTCGTCTCAGGAAAATGTTTTTAGAAAGTAACGAAACTAAGTTTGGCTAATGGTCTTGTGTAGCAATCTCTATAATGGTCCTTAATGGCCACGGTCCTTACCCTTCGCTAACAAGCATCGTCTTGGCTCGTCTTATCAGAAAATCTCCCGCAGTTGTTGACGAAAGCAAGCGTAGCTCCTGAGTTCAGATCTCATTTCGAAGTTACGAAAATATTTCGATAAATTAAACACAGGTTTCTCCATTCGCTCATTACTAAGTTGTTGCATCATTTTGAACAGGTTACCTTGGTTCTATATGAATAGAAATACATCTTATGATTTACCATAATTCAGTTTTCCCTCTAGGATTATATCTATACCGAGTCTGGATTTGCTTCTTTTTATTTTCCGGCTGATCGATTACATGTTTATAGGAAATTTGGGCATGGATTCATATGGCCTCTGGGTTGGAAATAAGTTTACGGCTGCATGACAATATTGTCAGTAAGTATAAACTTGAGCGAGTAGAATTGCTTGCGTGTACAATAAGGCGTAATTCTAGATCTCTTATATTGTTAATGAAGCTGCTGGTACATTACGTATGAGAGTCATCGCTTCATCAAGACTAAATGTTTAAAAATACCAGGATAATAAAATTGTTATGCAATTAGCATTAAATGTGAATATTTTCCAATTTACAGCTGTACAATCCAAGTTTTAATCCACCATTTAAGTTTGTTCTTTAGTCGCGGTTGTCGGTCAGCGTGTTACATTCAATTGTTTATTTGTTGCATTGGTTAATTCCTTCCTTGCCAATACTTCTGGCGCGTATACGAACCACAGTGAAAGGCAGTAACTAATCATCAGTTATTCATGCTAACGCTTCATCACTTATATTAGCGTGCCAGTGCTGGGAGGGATTAGCCCAGCTGAACAGTGATTAGCTGAGTTAATTTCTGTTTTTGGGTACGGTGTTTTTTGGTGTTTTGCCATTATTATCGAACATGATGTCTCAAAATATTTGTATAGGATATAGGCATACACGTGGGGATTTGCTGACGTCAAATCTTTCTCATCTACAATTGTGTCGCTTGATAATTTCAAATCGACTCACAATTCAGGTATTCCGTTGATTAATGGTTTCCACATTGATTGTTGGAGCAAAGCAATTGATAATGTATGGCTCTTCACTAGGTCATGGGTTATAATTGCTGCCTGCTTGATTGTTCAATTGGGATCAAAATGAGCGTCGAATTTTGTCAGCGAGCGAAAATTTATTGCTCCCATTTATGTCATTATTGCGGTATGTTATACTTATATGTTATCAAGATCATAATAAGGGTGTAAATAAGAGGGTACTCGAGCTATTGATGCCAGCTGTTGGTAGCTTTCGACTGCCCCAAGCGTCGTTTTCCTTTTGCTGCTCGACGGTTCATGAGCTGTTATTGGTCCTTCGAACATAGATCCTTCCTTCGACGTCATGCATTCGTTCTCAAATCTTCTTTCCGAAAGTTCCAAATAATATAATTTTTTTAAATTGACAATTCATATTCAGATCTGTGGACAGGACGTGGGTTTTGACTATAACACCACGTATATTTTGGAAAATCTGGTCATGAATACAACATTTTTGTTCACTCGAAGTTGGTCTGTATATTTTTTTGAATGAATGGGTTCACTGTTAGAAAAAACGGTGGAAAAACGGTCCCACCGGCGTTCTAGTGGCCGGTCGCCCCGTGAAAATAAACTGTTTCGCCGTTTATCTCAGATGTTTTACGGATTTCAAGTGTTAAATTAGAATAAAAACGGCGACTCGGTGTTTCTTTTCACGTGCCGACCGGCCACTGAAACGCCGGTAATACCGTTAACGGTAATTTTTCTAACAGTGTTTAATTGCCACAAATTTTATCCAATTTATCCCAGAAACTGTGGCTCGTGCCATAGATAATCACGTGTAAATTATCTGGATAAGTATTTATAATTTTCTCAACATTCATAATAATTCAAAGGAAAAAATCTCAAATGTTAGCTTTGTTTTTCATTCAACGAGCAACGTGCATATTTTCGCCGAGTTTCTCTCCAGGAAAATTTACAGACGCTTCAGCTTCTGATTTGGGTTACCAGAAGCTGGGGCGACTCTAAATTTTGTTAGGGATCGCAGGCTAACGTTTGAAGTCTGCAGCCATGCAGGAAGGAAGCCGCGCGTTCTCTGCAGGGAGAAAGTTGGCTGCAGGGCACGGCTCAGGACACGACGCTTTCCTCCTGACTGTAGGGTCCGGAGCTGTAGGAATTCATGGCATGTCTCTGTAACGCGTGGTTGCGTAGTTATGTCTGAAATTTTCGTTAGTGAACGTTAATTGGAGGGACTGCTTAGGATGAGTATGAGGGCTTGGTAAGTTGATTTTTATTCAATGTAAACTGGGCGCATGATATCATGAAGCATAATGCTACATGGTATCTTAGTAACTTATTTAGGTCATGAATTTTGAGGAGTTATCATACGTTATCTCAAGTTAAAATTTTAACCTGAGAACGCACCACCTGAGACGCTTTCCCTATTGAAATAACAGATCGCCTATCATTTATAATCGCAACTGACAAATTTTAATATCAAAGCATTTACACAAATGGATATCATTTCAGAATGTTCAACTATATAGTACACTATGTTATTGTGAAATAGCATCAAAAGATGTCACTAATGACCATGTAATAATATAAGTAAACGTACTTGAATTCAAATATTTTTAGCCGCTTTTACTCTGATGGCTGCAATTACCTCTTATTTGATTTTAAAAATTAGAATCACAATTTTTTAATTAGTTTAAAGATGGTGTAGCTAAGATGATTGAATGAAGTCTGACAACAAATGCGTTTGAATCATTCTTTCAATTTTCAAGAGGCTAACACATTGTCCTTTATTTATAATGCTGGAAATGGAATTCCGTAGAGAAAAATGACAAATGGAATTCCGTTGCGATAAACTTGTTGAAGTGAAATCTTAGTTTCAGTTGCCTTCTATGGGCGATGTTATGAATTTTTATATTTATTCCTACTTACTTCGTACTTTTTTAATGTTCTGATCATGAGAGGTTCTTCCGACCATAAAGTTTTTTGTTATTTGTATTAGTTAGTGAAATTCGAGTACCATGTGAATGTTTTAAATCGATAGATTATCATGAATACTTGCTGTATCGTGTATTATCCTGTCATTTGTGCCAATTTTCAAATTATTTCTTGATATGGCTCGCCGAATGACAGGTTAAGATCAATATTTAACTTACGACTGTCGTGAAAATGCGGCTCTAGCATAAGTTTTGCATGTCCTACAGCAATTGACTTCTGACCTTCGCAACATACTTCACATGTCACCTTGCAGCATAATAGTGCGCTTTCTTTTTAACGAGGTTACCGCCAACATTTGCATATCACTTGTGCGCATTTTTTAAGCGTTTGTTTTATTTATTTATTTTTTAACAAATTGGTTTGATTGCCAGCTGTAAACGCCATTAATTTAGACAATTGTAAATAGTCGTATCGAGCGTGGACAAAAATCTTCAGAGACACAAAAATCACAATCAATCGCAAATCGGCCCTAATCGAACATTTGGTTGTGTTATATTCAGTTAGTTATCGAGCTGAAAGGAAAGTGTAACAATAAGTAATCAGTTTCGTATCATAATATCCATATGGAATATTCGAGTTTCGGAACGTTATATTGAGCGTGGCCTCAAATCATAAATGAAGTGAACTTAAATTCAGGCCGAGGCAATTTTACTTTCGTTTGACACCGCGACTACAGTTTCTGGCTTTAATTAAACCCCTTGCTTGACCTACAAGACCACCATTATTGGGACCCTGCGGGGGTGAGAAGCTCCTGCCGTGTGGGCTATAGCTGGATTTATGGAGGCAACAATTGTAAGGTCTCGGAGAAACTTGACAGTTTTACCGAAGATGGAAATTCGTGTTTTTAGCTTTCTTGGGCGATGAAGGTCGTTTGCCATTGACGCCTCAACACTTGACGACGCCTCAAATTCTTGTGTTATGAACACAAGAATGATGTCTACTTATTGGTCAAAAATTTGTGGATATCGATTACTGATCGACTTAGCAACTTTCAAGATGCAGACGCGCTCAATCTTGCAATCAAGTTTTGTTCTTTGGAATGAAGTTCCGCGCTACACCGCTACTCAAAGAACTTCAAAGCACTGCATGGCGAACTAATCCTCATAATTTGAAGACGTTTGGGCAGTTATAGTTAGGCCGACTACAAGTTAATATTCCTAACATTTATAACATAAATCAACGTCTGCTTTAAAACTTGTTTTTACTATCGACTGTCTATTGAAAAGCTATTGGTTAACAATTACTCCGTGTCGTCGCGGGAACTTGTATTGTCATACGAGGTACAAAACACCTGTTGCGTTTTCTTCTTCGGTCTGCGATCTTGAACAAATATTTTTAACTAAACCTACGGGAGGATGACTTGAGCTTGAACCTTTGTTGCCTGATTGATTCAGAACAATACAAGGTTAGAAATTATTTTAACATCAGAATAGTAGACTAGGTCTTATGAAAAGTAGAAATAAGTTAAGATTGTATATCCTCTCGATATCGATGTCGGGGAAGCGGGATGTGCACATGTTATCGAGCTATGATGGCAGCATATATTGGCCTACATGACAAAGCGCACAGCTGCTGGGAGAGCGGTCTACAGCTGACGGCGCTTTCTATACAACACATTCAGACGAACTACTCCGGCCTCATGCTTCTGGTACCGTCAAAAATGTTCTCCGTTGTATTGTAACCGTCTCAAGTCTTTTAATCGAATGCATTATCATGATATAAGGTTTTCATTTAATAGGTTTTGAATAAAGTATGCTTTTGAAGAAACGGGTTCAAACTGTTGTAGCATTTTTCGTGTTGAAGTGCACTTTGATTCTGTAAACCTTCATCAATATACAGAATGCCAGATTGTGTAATTATTTGATTAAAATTTTTAAAGCCTCCCATGACATCGTGGATACCACCGTTGTCTGAGAAGCAGCAGATATCGTCGCTATTTATTAGTAAATCTTCCTTTATGTTATCCGTTCTACCATGCATAAGTTCTCGTGCTGCCATCATGTAGTCGCATCATTTTGAACTTACCTTTTATATCATCTCGCAGGTGCAGGAAGCGTTCATTTTCAGATAATTATTCATTGTGTCAACTCTTTTACAGTGAACGCCATCAGAAAATTCAAAATTTTTACAGTGAATTTTATCGCAACGATGGAATTGTTCATGCTATTGCCCTGTGAGTGTCATCCGGCATTTGCTGAGCTATACTTTTTGAGAGTTTTTTTATTATCTTATGACTTTTAGATCGACCCACAATTCATTAAAGCAAACACACATGCTCTGAAAGCATGTCCCTCATGTACAAACCGCAAGGTACAAAATTTCTATGTGGAAATATATTTGTTGGATTCTATTCTGTTGGTTCAAATAACTGTTAACTCTGTTAAGTTCTATCACGTCGGCTAGATTATGATGCTCGGAAATGAAGACGATCGGATTAATGGCGGAGGGAATTACGGGCATCTGTTCTTTTCTTGTGAACTTTTTTTGGTCTTGTATACTCGTCAGTATTCGAGTGATACCCTTCTTCATTCATTAATATATGAAGAAGTGCAAATATGCATTGAGCCTGACCGCCCTGCTGTGAGGGTTAGGCTACAATAAAGCCAGCTACGCAAGTCTTTAGGATTGTTTTCCTAATGCAATTCATGACTTAATGTACTCTGTAAATTTATGTTCGATAATATTAGACCTCACCCTTGACCGCACTGCAGATATTTCCCTGGCAGCGCAGAAAGCCTGCGTGGTTTGTCTCTTAATAACCGTCTGTCATATCTGGCCTTCAATTGAGCGTTACCTTCCCTCAGTAAGACGTTAGCGCATTGCGTGACATTGCAATCGGTGAGTGCAATACGAAAGTTCGTATCTATTGCAATTATAAGTTCGTATCTATATTGCACTTATAAGAGCTATCTGGAAACTGTACTTCGTAGTAATTTTTCACACCGCAAAATTAAATATTAGAATAAATATTAAAATCAAATATTGCACTAATTACACGGATGCGTTTCTTGACACAGAATGTTTGAAAATCATCATTGACTAAGAAGTCAATGAAGATTAAAGAATAATATGCTATTTGATCATGAAAATACTGGTACTGAGCTGGGTCAGAGGTGCACTCGATCATAGCTTGCTAGATTGATATAAGATACAAGGATAGTGCACTAGATCATAGCTGGCTAGATTGAAATAAGATACAAGGATATTGCATTAGATCACAGCTGGCTAGATTGATATAAGATACACGGATAGTGCACTAGTTCATAGCTTGCTAGATTGACATAAGATAAATGTTCTGCAAGAGAAGCAATATCCCTCAGAGACGCCGGAAGAGAAACTAAAATCAACATCGACCGCGCAGAACGAAGTCTCACGTTTCAGATTAGAAATCATAGGAGATCAAGTGGCGTAGTAATTAAGTCTATGCAAACTATTCTTTAGAAAATTTCTCTAACAGATGCGAGTAAACAAGCTCTTTTAAATTCGACGCTGTACTCCATACCAAAGTCAAGCATATATAGTCACCCCCTAGTTTTAATCTTAATACCTGCCTTCGCAAATGGTGAGAAATCACCATTTTTCTAATGCTAGTACGCAGTCAGATTTCAATTCCTGCGAGAAGGATCACTCTCCGTGGCAGGACCAAGGCTGTTCAACGCCCTACCAAGGGATCTAAGAGAGGGGGAGTTCACCCTGGAGACCTTCAAGAGACAGCTAGACGTGTTCCTGAGCACAATCCCAGATCGACCTCCCCTGCAACACTACCAGCGGCGAGAAGCAAGCAACAGCATCGTGCATCAGGTGGCCCAAATGAGGGCGGATGAACGATAATCAGAGGCGGCGATCCATCGTGGCCTGGGACAGCTATGTCCCAAACAAATACTAAGGATACTAAGGATAGTTGCCCTGTTGTGCGGGCTGCTCCGTATGAGTGCAAGTGTACCGTATTGTTTTAATACATTTTTATTCAATTTACAAATGTGTCATTATATTGATGTTTAACTTTTTTCTGTTTTTTTTTCTCTAAATTTACGTACGGGGTCCATGTCAAGTCAGTTTTTCCGGAAATATTGATTACACGCTTCTAGTATTTTAGAGAAGTAAATTATTGTATACATTTTATTGCTTATTGTATTTTTCATCCAGGGTGAGCTTAGAGTAAACCTTGAAGAATTCGGTTCATCGGCCTTCTATCGTTAGATATTTTTGTTCGTTATTTGTTTCATTGCTTTGTTTCTATCTGATAACCTTCACGTAGGACAAATAAGTGAATCATTTAACATTCAACGTTTATTCTCTCATCTATATTGATAGCGGAATGTTTGTATGTGTTCAGAGCTGAGCTGGAGAGCGCGTACGCGTTATATGACCTTCATGTAGGATAATTAAGTGAATCATTTAACATATAATGTTCATTCTTTCGTCTATATTGATATCATTTAACATATAATGTTTATTTTCTCATGTATATTGATATAGGAATGTTTGTGTGCGTTCAGAGCTGAGCTGGAGAGCGCGTACGCTAAGGGTCTGCACAAGCTGGCGGGGAAGCTGCTGAAGGCGTCGCGTGACAGCCTGGGCAGCGTGCACCAGGCATGGCAGGCCGTCGGACAGGAGCTGGACAACGAGGCTGAAGTTCACAGGTCTTTATCCAGCGCCATATTAATTATATGTTCTTATTTATATTATATTATATTATATATTTAGCGAATTTTCTCATTTATGGAAAAAATGCGCTATTGTGTTCGTCATGTCCGTCCGTCCGTCTGTCCGTGACTTCACGGACGGACGAGAAAATGCGCTCTCTGTCACTCACCGCAGTGAGGACTGATCTAATTTTTTATTATCATCTCCGTTAATAATCGGTTAATAACAAAAGTCAAATAATGCAGGGTGCAGTCTTGTAATTGTGTTAAGAGTATTGTTTATAAGCTATTATGATTAAAATGTCTACATCTTATCATCGTGCAACCTATTAATAACATGAGTCTAATAATGTAGGTTGCACCTGCGTATTGTGGTTGATATCAGCTTGTTGGTTGATTGTAGTGAATGATGATGCAATGATTTTAATTATACCATCTCTTTTTCAATGCAGGAAAGTCTTTGCGCATCGACGAGAATAAAATGGCTTAATAGTTATTCAATAATCATAATAACTTTAAAGTAATAATCCGGTGGTTGCGATCCAACATGTATTTTTCAAAGTAATAGCCCAGTGCTTGGAATCTAGAATTTTTCAGTAGTAACTTTACAGTAATCCTCATCTAGCCCACATTTTCAATGTAGCTGTCCAGTGGTTGCGATCTAGCATTATTTCGCCAGTGTAACTGTCCAGCGGTTGTTCTCCAGCCTGTATTTTTTAACGATAATGGTCCAGTGTTGGTGATCCAGCCTGTGTTTTTCATGGTAATGGTTCAGTGGTGGCGATCCAGCCTGTATAATTATTCATGAACTTAATGAATTTTGTTAATTATTCATGAACATTAAATTGATCAACAGGAACGTGCACGAGTGGAGAACTGCCGAGTATAAGGCCAAGAAACAAAGTCACTCGGCGTGCCGCGAGAACGAGAAGATCCAGGACATGGCGCTCGAGGCGAGGCTCGGCAGAGGCAAGACGCTCTCTGAGAAGGAGGCTGTTAAGGTGCGTCGCCGGTTGCGTAGTTTTATAATGTACTATTTTGAATTTTCGTTTTATAATTAGTATCTTAATTATTACCGTTTCAGTTTATTTTGATTAAGGGATTTGCTTGTCGTGCTTTACGTGGTTAAAATTTTTCAAATTTAATTCGATTTAAATCTATTTTCGGTTGTTTCTTTCTGGAATAGGAGACATTCTTCACTATCGATATGTTTACGTAAACTAATCGAGTCCTTTAAAGAAACTAAGAGATTGACCGTAAACATGTATTTTATTCGAGGAATTTTAGGACACCAGAAAGCGAAGGTTCTTCCATAAATTGCAATTCAGATCTAACGTATAAACTAAACAAATTAAAATCAGCGTTGCATTTACATTTTTCATATTGATAAAATTAATTGTTGTCAGATGGAGAAGCAGCGTCGCAAGGCAGAGGAGCTGGTGCAGCGCAGTGAAGTGGAGTTTTTTTTAATATTGCTAACTATTAAAATAATCATTGATCTGAGATGTAAAGCCACTAATTCGAGCGACTTAATCATTAATCTAAGAGATGTAAAGCCACTAATTCAAGCGACATAATCATTAAACTAAGATGTAAAGCCACTAATACAAGCGACATAATCATTAAACTAAGATGTAAAGCCACTAATTCAAGTAGAATAATCATTAATCTAAGATGTAAAGCCACTAATTCAAGCGACATAATCATTGATCTAAGATGTTATGCCACTAATTCAAGCGACATAATCATTAAACTAAGATGTAAAGCCACTAATTCAAGTAGAATATGTAATCATTAATCTAAGATGTAAAGCCACTAATTCAAGCGACATAATCATTGATCTAAGATGTTATGCCACTAATTCAAGTGACATAATCTTTGATCCAAGATGTAAAGCCACTAATTCAAGCGACATAATCATTAAACTAAGAATTACGCTTAATTTTTGCAGAGTGCGAGCCGCCTAGAGGAGCCTGTGAGTCAGTGCGACGTGGAGAAGGATGTCGCGGCCATCATCAACGCTAAGGGCACGGGTGAGAACATCCCCCATCAGCTCCTGCCGGATTTCTACGCGGAGGACATCAACAACATCATGAACAGGGAACGAAGAAGAGAAGTTAGTCTCCTGCATATTTCACTTATTGAACATCATTTGTGGAGAATTTTAATGGTCACAAAATGTATAACTGTTCTATTTACCCGCTATGACAGCAAATGATGATGCAAATTCTTCCGAATTAATGTTTCTATTTAACTTTCTATAGATGACTACATCACCAGAACCTAGAAAAAATCTAGGAATTCTCCGAAAATACAGTGGTCAATTGTGGTCGTTTTGAGTCTTCAATATGATTCTGCGTTACATTTTCGTTAATTTTTCGTCTCCACCAATTTATCGGAAATTTTTGGAGAAAGATCTCCCATGAATTTGATTCATTTCTTTGTCATTTAGAATGCCCATAGAAGTAATTTCAGGATTTCTTGTCGAAAAATCTTGCACAAATGATTAATTTCACCGTCCGACTCTAATCTATATTAATTAATTACCAAGGATTCCCATTATTATTCCCAGTAAACGTTTATCGTTTCCTAATTTCTTTGAAAGTTAGTCATTTGGTCACTGTAAATCATGCCAGTTCTTAAAGAACTTGAGCAAGTCGTTGCTGTTAATCATTTCAGTCCCTGGAGAAGCTGAGCAAGTCGTTGCTGTTAATCATTTCAGTCTCTGGAGAAGCTGAGCAAGTCGTTGCTGTTAATCATTTCAGTCTCTGGAGAAGCTGAGCAAGTCGTTGCTCTTAATCATTTCAGTCTCTGGAGAAGCTGAGCAAGTCGTTCAAGGGCGACATCGAGCGGGAGCGGCGCGGCAAGCAGGGCGTCGAGAACCTGGCGAAGGCGCTGCAGGAGACGCCCAAGTTCGGCAGCGAGGACTCGCAGCAGGACGTCAACGACAAGCTTCAGCACGTGCGTCCTTACACGATCAATTTCAGCCTTAAGATAAAATCATAATACCACCTTCATTGTAATTTTGCTGTACTTATTGTGCTCTATTACCATACACTTTTTAAACATTTATTAAGAAATTATTGTCTTACTGCTACTGATGCTGAAACTATCATGCTGTTTATGTACTGTTACAAACATGTAATTGGTAAACACCATTAAGCTAAAACTTTTATCCATTTATTTTTATAACCTAAGTGTCATTTAACGAAGAAATTATGGAACTCGTGTTGTTTGCTGGTTAATATTCAAAATTAAAAAAATATAATATTACATTTTATGTATATTAAAATATTATACTGTTGTATTAATAAAACATTAAATAATATTCAACATTAAGAAATTAATTTTCAACGTTAAGATGCGTGCGATGCTGGCGTACCTGGAGGCGGCGCGCCACAAGATCGAGTGCAGCCTCGCTGAGCTGCAGCAGCGACCGCGGCCCTCACATCCTGTGGAGCGCCATGTGCATACCAGCCGTGACAAGCAGGGCATGGTCATCTCTGTACTCAAGGTGGGTTCTTCTTATATATTACTGGTATATTACCGCGGCCCACACATCCTGTGGAGCGACATGTGCACACCAGCCGTGACAAGCAGGGCATGGTCATCTCTGTACTCAAGGTGGGTTCTTCTTATATATTACTGGTATATTACCGCGGCCCACTCATCTCTGTACTCAAGGTGGGTTCTTCTTATATATTACTAGTATATTTATATATGTTTCTGATGATGATCTCTATACTCAGGGTGGGTTCTTCTTATCTATTCCTAGTATATTTATATATATTTCTGATGATGATCTCTATACTCAGGGTGGGCTCTTCTTATCTATTCCGAGTATATTATATGTTTTCCGATGATGGTCGCTATACCAAGGTTTGTTCTTCTTATTTATTCAAAGTATATTGATAGATATTTCCGATAATGATCTCTATACTCAAGGTGGGTTCTTCTTTTCCATTCCTAATATTTTTATATAGGTTTCCGATGTATTTTTATAGGTCTAGCGAGAGAGGCAGGCAAAATGGGTTTGAATGAGGCACTGACATGTGGCTACTGGTGGTCTTATGGGTCTAGAGAATTTCCTGCAGAAGAGAATCTAGATTTATTTCCGACGATTAAAGTAAAACATGTTTTGATATGTAGTTAAGAGCATGGTATGATGTGATAATCAACATGCATGCTCTTGTTGCCATAATTGAAGATGACTTCTAGGAAATAGTTCATCAATGTTTTATGAATGTTTGCCGTAGTAAAATTCGAGCGCTAGACTCATAAGAGCATATTGTTCATAATGACCAAGATATTACAGTTTCATACTTGGTGAAATGAAGAACAAATTTGAAATTAAAAATGATTTATCATAATAATGGACAACTTATTCACCCATGTTCTTTCTTACTTTCCCCGTGTTCTTTCTTCTTTCTTAATCACGGAAAGACCTGAATGGATATTTGGAATAGAATAGAATAGTGTCGGCGTTGAAGAAATAGGCCCATGGCCTGTTGCTGATTCTTGAACTTTTCGTGACTTGATTCACAAGGGATCCGGCCTTTGGAACCCGATCTTATTGTTGCGCGTCTTTGAACACTCTCTACTAAATTTTTGTCCTTTTCAAATTTTTGAACGATTACAAATTCGCGTTTCAGTATCAGAAGCGGATCCATACCCATACATTTAGAAACCCTTTGTTTTCATTTAATCTTTTAAATAATAATAGAAACTTTTTAGCGCATTTTCTCATTTATGAAAAAAGGCGCTATTGTGCTTGTCATGTCCGTCCGTCCGTCCTTACGTGACTTCAAATTTTCGTCGACGAGAAAATGCGCTCTCTGTCACTCACTGCAGTGAGTACTGAGTTATATTTTTTTATAAAATAAATCCAAATTTCGTCGTCGCCGTGCAGGTGCCGGCCTGGCTGACCCCCGACAGCGCGTCCCCCGACAGAACTCCCCCCAGCGACTCCCCCGCCGACTCCCCCGACTGGCGGGACCGAGGCGCTGCCGACGGAACAAGCGTCCAACCCGACTCCGACTTCGGTGAGTGGCGGGTGGCGGTGTGTAGCGGGTGGTGGAGGGTGGTGGTGTGTAGCGGGTGGTGGTGTGTAGCGGGTGGCGGTGTGTAGCGGGTGGTGGTGCGCAATATAGATGGAGTATGGATGGAATAAAATTATGCAAGTAAAGAATATTCCTTGAATCAAAATGTATTTCATACCTCTTTTAAATACATGAAATATATGACTATATGAAATAGTTGCATTAATAAGACGTTTCTTTCTTTCTCGCTTTTCTCCTCGTTTCGTTCTTCTGTTACTCAACATTCCTTCTGAATGATCTAACTCGTATTTTTCCCGAGTGCCGCCTTTCATTTAAATGCAAATTTTCTTTGTTGCATTTATATTGATGGATTTTTCACGCTGTTTTGCTCATATAGGAGCTCGTAACGAGTCTGTAAAGTTTTTACCTTTGCGTGCCGCCATAAACGATGCTTTTAAGCTCGCTGAAAACTTGAGTTCCCAGAAAGACAGCCATGATGAAACGCCTCAAAAACCCCAAGTTAGCGCGTCACTTGACAGCGCAGAGCAAAATATTGAACAAGAAGAGGCTGGCTGTGAGAGTAAAACCTCTAATATTGTCAATGATAATGATCCATTGATTGGGGAAGTGCCTGATGTAGTTCCAAAAGCTGCAGCTAGAAAATCCAAGCTTCTCAAGCTTCCAATAGCCACTAACGTTGTGTTCGTTACTATAGGCAACACGCCTGAAAGTGTTAGCCGTCATAACGCAGCTAAAGATGGAGTCGTTTCTAGGGGTGGCACTCTGAAGTCCACCCATACAACTAATGCGATCTCAGCTTCTATTCCTACTGTCTTACCTCCTCCTTCTAGTCGATCAGGAACACTTACCTCAAATAAGTCTCTGAGTAATGGCCCAGGGCCAGACTCTTGCCCTTTATCTCTGTTTCCTGGTAGTTTTTGTAGTGATACTAACACCCGCGCTCCCGTGGGCATGAGGCTTCGTGAGTTTTTGCCACGCATTCGTTACCCTTCCCTGCCTGTTGTCGCACCTCCAGACGAGTTCAGCTCCCAGGGATCTGACCGGGACTATCAGAACGCTATCCATTCACCGGGATCTGACATTGCCCACAATAACATCGTCAACCAACAGTCAATCAAAACCGAATGCGACCAAATCACCAACTATGACCAAAATACCGAGACCGATAAATCTAATGGTCTTGGCACCGAAGATTCTGAACAAACGAGCGAAAATCAAAATCCTATCGCTGCCATTGGATTCTATGCTACGCAACCGCCGCCCGCAGATGCCGTTGAAGCGATGGGTCGCTGCAAGGCTCTCTATGACTACGATGCTAACATGTACGACGAGCTCACCATCAGAACAGGTACGTGAGATTTAACCTACTGTGTTCGTTTATATCTTTTCTATTTTATGTTAGGCATTTTTTCTGTTATGGCATGGATATGATATGTACGACGAGCTCACCATTAGAACAGGTACGTGAGCTTTCACTTACTGTGTCAGTTTGAGATTTTCTATTTTGTGTTAGGCATTTTTTTCTGTTATGGCTTGGATATGAATTATCAAAGGTGCTATGAAAGGGTAGCTTGTTTATCTCAATTGATACTTCTGAAATCTCGACGACTGATTTTTTTCACCGATGCTAACTAAAATAATTTGTGGCATTAATTTTGTATCTTCCACTCATTAAGATAAGTTTTTACTATTTCTTTCATAAAAAAAGTAGATTGTGCATAAACTGATAAAACAACTACTTCAGTAATACATTAACGGCGCATATACAAGTATTAAATAACAAATTTTTGAAACAGTGTTTTGGGTCCTTTATTTTTGCATTTTCACATCAATCGTCCCCTTTAAACCGTTATAGATTTGGTTGTAAATCTTGCTAGTTTCATAACCAAATGGCTTCCTCTAGGTCATTTTGGTCCATTTGGTAATTTCAATCAAGTCCTTGCTTGGTCCAAGAAGTGCTTTCTAAATTCCCATTTATGCACCACTTTTTATCCATTGACCCAACTCTATAATTTTTTTTGGGGGGAAAATTCATTAAATGCTTAATATATCATATTGTTTTCTATTAATTATTTGTTATATTTGCAGGTGACATTATCCAGCTGCACCGCAAACAACCCGACGGGTGGTGGGTAGGCGAGCTGGATGGCAACACTGGGATATTCCCTGCGACATACGTCGAAGAAATCGATTGATATTGGCCACGCTCAGAGTGTCACTCATCATCCTCATCACCCTCATCCTCATCACCTTCCTCTCCTCTTCCTTCACCTGCATCACCATTACCCTCATCATCACCACAATCACCGGTAACACCACTAGAGAGAATTGAAGAAGATTCTCTCACGGTGACCGATTCTTCTCACCCTCTTCTCGAGGCCCAAGCTTCGGGGGTCTCTGCTGTCAAGCAAGAAAATCCTACACGAGATGGAGAGTCCAAAGGCAGGAAAAAATCCACTAATAAATATTCAGGTTCACACGAAGTTGGTACGATTAACCCAAGGTACCTTCGCGACAATTGCAGTGATTCCGACAGTCTCAGCACATCACCTGACAGTCTTAATGCTGACAACGTCAGTAGAACTAGTCGTGATAGCTGCAGCGGTGGCTCTCACTCGGATAGTTTCAAGTCCTGTGTCAGTTCTGGGTATGACAGCTGTAATTCCTCCGGAGTTGCGACAGCGGCGACAACGCAATCATCAGCTGCGTCAAATACCTTGTCTACATCTGACACGTCTTCAGGCGACAACGAAAACCCTAAATCAACTCTTGCAGAAGATGTTCCTTCTGTTCAAATTCCGAAGAGAGATAAAACTAAAGGATCAAATTCTTCTAGCGACGAAGAGAGTCCACCGCCTCTTCCGAGTTCTCCTCCCCCAGAAACCCTCTCGTCCTCAGATATACCTCCATTTTACGTCCCACCGTCAGGCTTCCCTCCTCCACTTTTCCAAGGTGGTAAAACAATGTCGAGTGCGACGCCCCTAATACAGAAGCTGACTAAAGCTCTATCGGCGTCTACACCACACTTAGTCGACGACGATGTTTCGATATCTTCATCGAGCAGTTTTGAAAACCTTGAGAACGAAGACTTCGAACCTTCAGTATCTGCATCGTTATCTTCATCAACTCCTAATTTATCCCCTGCCTGCGCAACGCGTCAGTCAAGCATCTGTAAAGTTTACAAGCATTCTCTCGATTCACCAATTTCCGAAGAAGATGGTGAGTTCAACACCACATCTGAAAGCATTGATCCAACGATGGATCACTCCTCAAAGAAAATTCAATCTTCCATCAAACCTGTTGCGCAAGCACGTAAGAAGTCAAATGAAAAAGCTAGAAGCGACAGAAACGAAACTCCACCCATTCCACCTCGCGTGATAAATATCTCTGGTCCAACGAACGTATGTCTGCCTGCATCGGTAGACCTCACGTCTCCAATCTACAAGCCTATTCAAAGATACTCATCTGCATCCGATCGATCTGATTCCAAGTCACCAAACCGCTTGGCATTCATGGACCCTTTTATAACCGAATCGTCAAATAGAGAATCCTCTCCATTTTCGAGGTTTATACCCCAGCTCCCCGATCGTGCTGTAGCAAATTATGATAGAACTAGAAACTTCATGCGCCGTAATCTAAAGTCTCCTACTTTCTCCTCCTTCCGACAGTCTACTCGCAGCCTCACGTCGTCAGCGCTACAAAGCTTGAGAAAATCTTCTCGCAATTTGAAATCTTCTTTGATGTCTCTCACCAGAGCGGCAAGCATGGAAGCAATAGACATACCTGCTTTACCAGGAGCTCGTGCATCAGCTCTCAATATTTCGGCTCCCTGCATACCCAGGCCAGTCGAAACATTTGCTTACTGCCCTCCATCTTCAATAGAGAACGTCAAGCTCAAATCAACCCAAAATAAGACGAAATTCTCGTCACTTCATAAAATTTCCAAAAAGGAGAGGACGGATCTGAACTCAGCAACGCTGTTTAAGCCAAATTCAAAAACGTCGACGCCAGAGCCGAGCTTGCCTGAAGAAACCGTGCCACAACTCAAGTCTTTCAAAACATTTGGCGGCCTTGATCAGAATAAAAGAAAGAAACCAAGCAGAAAGATTTCTCTTCCTGATTTTCATCGCTCGCTTGGTTCCCTTAATGGACCGTACGGACAAAAAGATATTATCCAGCCTGCAGTGTCTCTGGATTCATTGAACGATTTATATGTATTTTCTGATGCTGAAGTGGACGAAATTACGAGCAGTATTGGTCGCAGTTTGACATCGCAACCGACTCGCCCGAAGCTAGCAACAGTTGAAGAGTCTCAGGACAGTCAGGAATCAACTATACGAATAAACCCAAGGAATAGATCTAATGCAGTTGGAAATATGCCTGCAGAGATGAAAACGGGTGGAAATAAAACAATTCAGCTTGACGAGGGTACAGCCAAACATCCAATGCCAACTCCAGTTAGAAAGAAGAAATCGACGAAAGCTAAAGCAAAAGATCCACCTCAACTTTCTAATGAGAAGACTAAGCTGAGCGCCAACAGCCTTCCTGTCAAGGTATTGCCAACTGAAAACCAAGCTCCTATGCCTGCAATCTTTTCTGATAAGGAAAATGCTGTTGATGGTGAAGCACAGCAAAAACTTTCGAGGAGGGCTTCGTTTGGATCGCCAATGAAGTCAAAACTCATAGTCGGAATGCCAATTGATGAACGTCAGGCTGAACTGCAACAGAAGCTCCTTCAATGTCTCAAAGTTAAGCTTGACGAGTATAATATAAAAGGTACCGTATCTCCGCTGCCATCGCCTCTGTTTTCGGTTAACTTAGCACCTTCGCCAAAACAGCAACCGAATGATAAAAACGAAAATTTGATAGGCCCCAGTCAAAATCTAGTAAGTGACGTGAGCCACGGTAAGGAATTCCGTGGTAAAAACAATGCCAAAAATGAACATAAAAACGACATCGATATGCAAGAAAGAAAGACACAGAGAGAAAATGAAAGACAAAGAATTGCAACAGTTCAAGCAGAATGCCACAGGCGAGAAGTCAAGGAAAAACTGGTTGATATTCAAGAAAAACGTCTACAAAAGAATGCTGTCAAATCTACAATGAATGAAGTGGTCGATTTCAGCGAGCAAGTTGACCAAGAAGTCTACAATGCAGAAGAAACGTCTGATCCCATAGTGTTTGAAGCAAAGAACTTACGAATTATTGAGTCGTTAAACGAGGAGGAACTTCTACGAGGAAGCAAACAACAACAACAAGAAGATGGTCAAAATTTGTCGGTCAGTGAAAGCGCCGAACTTGAAAATTACTCAGAACAAGAACCGAAAAAGATGGAAGAAACCCTTGAACACTCAATGGTGCAGTCAGTAAAAGAGCCGGACCAATGGAATCTCCAGGAACTCGAGGAATGGAAAAATATGAAAGCTACGGAGCTTCGAAATATCAAAGAGAAGGGGAAGCATTTGGCCAACAAGCTGGAAGAACAAAAAGCTCTCTCGAACGAGGATGATGACAAAAAGAAGGAATTGGAAAAATTAATTGAACTTAAGAATCGTTCGCTTCAACTGCTCAAGGAGAAGCAAGAAAGAGAATTAGCTCTTCGCAGAGAGAAGGAAGAACTTGATAGAAATCAGAAACTTCTCGAAGAAACCCTTCAACTAAAAGATTTGGAACGCAAATGTGCTATAACTTTACAAAACCATAAACCGTCTGACAGAGAAGCAACGAAAAATACTGAAGCTAAGCATTTGTATCTTAAGAAACTCTTAGAAGCCGAGCTGGAGAAGGAAAACGAACAGAAAGAAGAATTGCGTCAGCATGAGCTACGACAAGAACAACTCCGGAAAGAATTGGAGACTCAGTTAAAACAACAAGCCATCAGCATTCAAAAAATTAAATCAAGCCAGTCTGAAGAGGAAAAACTAAGCGTAGAGCTTGATAAAAGAGACGGTAAGTCTAAGGAAAAAGATGTAATTTCTAATTCTGATGCCGAAGGGAAAGTAGAGAATCCTAAAGCATCCCAGAACATCAGAAAGCAGCTCATGTACCACCTGGAGCAACGCAAGTTACAACAACAGATGAAGCTTCCAAAACCTCAAGTTACTCTGGACCACAAGACTGGGGCTAATAGTGCAATCAATTCCAAAGAAGGTGAAACGCAAGATATCGTACCGAAGAAGCCTGTATGGGATGAGGATGATGGTACAGAGGCAGTCAACACGAACATATCTGACTTCATAGGATGCGAGCTAGTGAGAGAAACTGAAGGATATGTTGACGACGAACAACCAACATCTTTGACGCTGCTTCCACCTCCTGAAAATTTCTCAGATGCTTTTTTGAACGGAGATTACAACGACGAATTTAATGTCGAGTCAACGCGAGATGACGCGGAAATAGTTTCCAACGACCATGTTATTGTGGCTTCCTCTCCTGCAGCGACCCGCCCATCTCTAAAGAAAAGAAAGTCAAAGCTTACTAAAAAAGTTACCTTTGGTGACGCTGACACCGAGATCAATTACTACCCAAAAGAAAGAGCTGAAGAGGAAGAACCCGAGGATGAAAAAGATTCACAACCGCATTCTGATTTTAATTCTTTCACCTTAAAGCGGCAGAAATTCAAACGCAATTGTACGTCTGAATCGTCTGCAAGTGTGAACCAATTCCACGAGAAAGCTGATTCAGACTGCTTGTACGAAAACTTGTCAACTAAAAAACCATCAGATCACTACTGTAAGAATGCTCCTCCTCTCCCTGCAAAGAAGAATCGTGTGACCAACTCCACGCACAAGGGACCTTCACCGGTGGCGCCTCCGACGCTGGAGACCGCAGGAGTTTTCCGTAGACGGGACGTGCAAGAGTCGCGTCCCGGTGAGGGCGACGAGAGCTTCGCCTAGCCTTACATTGAGCAACCGGTCGTATTATTATTTTTCCTCAGCCGTCGCACGGATTGAACTTTTATTCCATATCTAATGAACTCTTGAATGTGCAACGATGGTTAGTATTCCTTTCGATTTTAACTGTAAAAGTAATTATGAGCTTCAAATTAATTGTAAAGCCTTGGTCTACGGATTAGTTAACATTAATCAATGCCTGTTCAAAATACTGATAACTTGACTGGCCGTTAGCAGATAATAGGTGAACTCATTCAAATTTCAACTTTGTATTTGCATCCCAAGCTCACAAGCTTTCTTTCAGGTCACTTGAAAAATTACATGATTTTTAAACCGTCTCTCTTTAATATTTCAAATAAATCACATACTTTATCTTTAATTGTGTTATAATCGATCGTACGTGTTGCTCAGTATAAGGTTGATTACTCGCGGGATTACTTCGCTTGACAGCACATCATACATTTTAATTTCATGCTATTTTTCAAATCTATTTATCTTTGTGCATATGCATGCACGCATATTCCGTGATTTACTACTTTTCATTTTGAATTCTGACTGGTATTTTTTTTTTGGGGTAATATTTCTGTTTTCTGAAATTCATTCTTAATTTTTGATGAACTTCATTCTATTTTCCAGGTTTCATTTTACTGTCAGGCTCAAATAATTTTCATTCACTAATTTTAAAAATTTCATTCGTCATTTATTTCGCTATCATCTCATAATGTGGCACTCTGAACTGGCGTGGACAAGTAATATAAAAGGTTTAATCCTTAATGTGTTCACCAACACCCTAAACTTGACTTGGAACTCCGAGGTTTCAAATCCTTCAGGCTTCATCTACTTATAAAATTGGACTTTGTTCATCAGATATTAAAATTAGATTGTGTTTCACAGCTCATTGTACTTGAAAAATTTTGTAAAAATAATTTTTTCCAAAATACTGGAAGTATTGATGCGTTCAAATTTAATTCACAAATTTCTTTAGGAATTTCTATTGTTGGAATTGAAGATAATATAATAGTTTTTTGACCTCGACGATATTCCACCAATGGACGATTTAAGTTTTGATTTATCGTTACCTGACTACAAATGAGAACGGATTTGACTTGGTCGATGTACGCTGCCTTCCTACATTATATTCGTTGACTTGATAAAAAATGTGAATCTTTTTGTACAATCAGTATCAGCAGTACTATATTTCTTACTTTTTATGGCGCTTGTTTCCATTACTGGCAGAAATTTACCTCTTGTCAATTTGTTGTTTGATGAAGTCGGCTTTATAATCATTTTCCACAAAAATGTAGATTGGTGGAGCTCGATTTTAAATCACAGGTTAACTGAGCAGGCGCCGTTAACCGCGAAAAAGATTCCAAATCCCCTAGATTACAAACCTCTTTTCTGCCCGGCATGCGTAGCGAAGACTGAACTGAACTTGACTACCAAAACTTCTACATTATACGAAGTAAATACTCCTCTACACAAACGATACTGCGCATAGCAATGATTCTTTGTTGAATCCGCGTGGATGAAAATGTACAGGATTATGCGAAGCAGTCATAGGTCTTCCATTTATTCAACTCGGGTTGTAATAGACGATCCAGCAGCAACTATTGCTTCTCTACGTGTCTCCATGATGTAACCCATTATCTAGTTCTCTTGTTAAATTAAAATGGAACTTTCAAAAAATGGCATCACTATTTTCGTGACGGCCACTGTCCGGCCAATTTGCGCTCCCTGCAATTAAGCTGCCGCTGAACAGAGATTGCGGCTCTACAACACAACAGCCAAATAATTGATTAAAGTGACTCGGAATAAGGCTATTTCATTCAATGCGAAGGGATACGACTTCTGCAAAAGGTAAACGATGACTTATGTTCGATAAATTTTTAGCATTATAATTCAACATCAGGCCCATATTGTTTTGGAGCCGTTATTTTGCATTTAGTCGTGTACGTAATATGCAGTCGACTGTTTATCTTCCGCATTTTGGCACTTAACACATTTTTATTGGAAGTCTACCGAGTAACACGGGATGTTCTAATGAGAGAAAATGCAGCTCCACTATATTTCTAATCCGATTTGCGCATTTTACATTCAACGTGCAGTGATTTAGCTGGATAGAATTTGCTCGATGAGTTTATAATACCTTAAACTTGAGAACTTTTTAGTATGGTTTTCTCCTGTGTATATGGCTTTTCAAATGATGTTGTCGCAAGGCATTTGCCCTACGTACTCATCTGTGTCAATCCGATTGCCTGATTGTCGTCGCACCGATGCGGTCACCAATGCGGGCGCAGCGAAGACGGCTGGCTATTAAAATGGCTGGATTTGAGTTAAATCAATATTTTAGTTTACGGTACATATAATAAGTCTTAAGTTTACTATTCTTCTCTAACTTGTCAAGAACTTTTTTAATTTTGTAGATAAAAATATACTTTATTTGCTGCAATCTATTTCAAGGACGCAATATATACTCTTCTATTCATAGAAAGACGTTACAAGTAATGAAAAAAAATCGATTTCAATTAGCCGGTTTCTTGTGTGTGTGAGTCATTTGTTGTTAAGTTAAGCACTTTACTTACAGATTTTTAGTTCTTTTTCAGCACGCAAATACAAAATTATTTTCTTTCCATGCACTGTCACATTTTGATTTGAGCTTATGTATTTTCTATTGTACATATGTTAATACATTCATTACTAGCGTTTTTATCGATATACTCGTTAATGATATTGAGAGAATAACATTGGAAGAGTGCTTGGTGTTGCTGTTCATAAACTCTGTGCTTATAGGGGTTGTTAAACGCGTCAAAGATTTCTCGTATTAATTTTTATGAATGACATATTTTTGCTCAGTGTTTTGCCTTATATGACAATTTGTCTCATTACTTATTTCGTCTTCTGACCATATATCTGTCTAATTAGAGCAACTCAACACTTCGAAATGATGTTAAAGAGGACATTATCAGCCTTATTACGTGCTCATACAATCTGCCTTATTAATCGTGAAAATATTGTGATGATGCACACTGTAAATTGTTTGCACTAACAGATGTGTCTTTTAGTAATTACATGGTGTTTCCCTTGCTTATATCTATATGAGTATTATGTTTATGTATATAAAGTGTTTCATTCAAATTTTGGCTTCTGAAATATTTAATAAATTGTAGAAAATAATAACTTGCATTTTCGAAATGCTAGGTGAGCACGAGAACATATGTGCCTTGTAGTCTCCCACATCATCTGTCTGTTGTCATTACTGCAAGTCTAAAAAAAGCTTCAACTTGCATTTCAAAAATTTTTGAAGTTATGGGATTTTATCAGTAATTCTGATTAATTCTAAGAAACAACTCGGTTTAATGATTCGCCTAAATACCGTTCAGGTAGAACAGGTTATTCACCAGTCTCCTTGATCCATTATTGTTGTTTCGATATTGCACGTAACTCTTTCTTATTCATGCTCTAAGCAATGTTTTTAGCGTAAATTATTATATCTATCAGGATGATTTTTATTTTATAAATACTTCATTTCGTCAGCCAATGAGGATCATGTAATATGTTTTTCAGTAAAAGATATGTCGATTTTGCATTCTCATTCTCCTTGCACTTGAACTTTTTGATGCTGTTTCTAGTCTGAGATCGACTTTTTCCAATATGAAGCATTCGCATGGCACAATGGCCCTCGAATCAACAATATCTTGAGGATCTACACTTGATTTTTAGTTAACGCTTCGACGGAAAATTATGTGTAACCTGTTCAAATTTACCGAAATATTTGAAACTAAATAAATTAGTTTTACTAATGGCTGGAAATTTGTGTAACAGTGTACTTTATTACCTCTCTAATCTATCTGCTTTACTATTTTGGTATGGAGAAATCGACAAATTTAATGTTTAGCTACTTTTTTTTACGAACAAACGAAGTTTTGTGTTATCCAGACATGGCAGTGAGTTTTAGCAACTAAGAAATTCGAATTATTTATTAGCTATAATCAGGACATCAACAGATGATTGTTCACTAGGAGTAAATCAAATGCATTTGTATAAATTTGATATAAAGGAGCTTGGCTAATGAACCCGAGAAAACATTGGTAGAAGAACTCAGCCCCGTCCACACGCTGAAACTTATCGTCAGTCATGCCAAAGTTTGACCGACAAGACGGAAGACTGACGAGCGTGCACACGTTCAAACTTATCGTCAGTCTTGCATGTCAGTCCAAAGTTTGACCGACAAGACGGAAGACTGACGAGCGTTCACACGCTGAAACTTGTTGTCAGTCATGCCAAAGTTTGACCGACAAGACGGAAGACTGACGAGCGTTCACACGCTCAAACTTTCCTTCAGTTTTTAGTGCGTTCGCGACAATGGAGGAGCTAGTGCTGCTCGCTGCAGTGATCGCAGTTTGTGCCACCATAATTATTATTAAAGCAATGCAAAGGTACGCGGTGGTCCCGAAAATGGTTTTAAAAAATACCACAATGAGGGTTGATAGACAGCATCCCTATCTGCACCAGACAGCATTGATGACTTCATTTTGGCACATTCTTTTCGATTGTGGTAGGTACCGAGGATGGGTCGGAATAATGCAGTGAGTTAGAGTTATCGATAATTTGACGCTAGAGTTACGTGTGCAATCGATGGTCTTTGGTAACGCTTCCCTACATAAAGGGTAATAGGTAGTGGACGAGTTCGAGTAGTTTATTAGGTGTTCGTGAATACAAGATAAAAGGAGAAAGGCCTGTGAACAAGGGTTGAGCATTAGAACATGACATGAAGTTAATTTATTATGGCTATCGGTCAGGGGATTATAATAATCTAAAAAATTAGATTATTTAAATTAAAGGGATTATAGTAATATCTCAGATAGGAGATTATACTCTAGGATATTTAACTCATCCACTAACCGATAAAGAGTTTATTTTCTTCGTTACAAAGTCTTTGTTTGCTGTAGGATCAACTTCTTTGCACTTAGCAATCAATGCCGCATAGGCCAGTGCTCTCACGGTATGGTCACTGTAGCTTTCTGACTGAATTTACCACAAACAATAGAAACTACGAAATAATTCTATAAACTCACAAAAAGAATTCGTGAAACCACTGTCGGATATCTTGAGATTTGAAAAACTAGAGCTAGCGAGGAACAATGTCACAGCTCTCAACATCAATATACACCGAGATAGAGTAAAAGTTTGACCAATTAGTCCATGGTTGAACTATATGGTTGAACTATATAAGGTTGACCCACGAGAAGTTCCGTCTTTCAGTTCAGCTTTCTTGTTACGTCACGTAGATCGAGGAACGAAAACGTATACTAGATCGAGAAACGTATACTAGTTCAACCATGAATTAGTCGGTTGCCCGTCCAAAGGCTCAAACTTATCGTCAGTCTTGCATGAACCCAAAGGTCTCGCCCGTCCGTCTTTTCCAGGTTTATCAAACCTCAAACTCCGCCCACCCGTCATGCAAGACGTCAAACTTTGAGCGTCCGCAAGCTCCGTCTTGTCGGTCAAACCTGGCATGACATGCAAGACTGACGATAAGTTTGAGCGTGTGGACGGGGCAGAAGTTCAATGATTGAAAGTCGGTTTATAACAACAAGAATAACACCGTAAAGTCCATTGCCATTTCCTTGTGATTCCTGAAATGCTTGCTGACAATTAGTACGTTCAATAATATAATACAAATGTTTGCCTTAAAGTACGGCAAAGATTATTTTATTAACAAGCTAATTTTTTCATTGCCATTGTTGTCAGTTTATAACTCCAGAAACGGAACGGCTTCCGAACTTAACAAGTTCCCCCTCATAGTCAGTTGCTCTTGGGTCATTGTGAGTGGAGGTGTGCGATAATGCTTCTCCGCGTCAGAGATGTGCTGATGCATCTGCTCTAATAACTGGATTATCTGTCAGTGTTTTA